CACCTACTCTCGTCCCTCGACAATGGCTGGCGGTGGATCACGGACGCAACCTGCAAGAGGGCGGCAGCAGACGACAGCCTCACTGCCGTTGGACGTGCTGGTGGACATCGCGGCGCGCAGCGACCCGGCCACCCTTGTGCGCTGCGCCGCGACGTGTGTCGACATGCGTTGCCGCGTCAAGGAATACATCAGCCTCGGTGGCCGCCTCCGCCTCCGGCACGGCGACCGCTTCGTGCTCCCCCTCCTGCGCGGCCACCTGATCCGCGGGCACCAGTACGACGACCGCGGGCGCTATCCCAAGGAGGAGTTGTTCCTAGTGGACACCGCCGCTGCGGACGACACCACGATGCACAGGGCCACCGCCATCAGCAGCGTCCCCCTCGCGTCGCGCGATGGACTCGTCCTCCTCCGCGTTGACGGAGAGCTCCGCGTTTGCGACCAGGCCACCGGCAGCAGCCACACCCTGCCACCTGAACCAGCCTTCCCTGTGCGTGTCAGCAGTGGGGCGGCTAGAGAGATAAGTTATGTCTTGCTCGTGGGCGGCGAATGCGATAACGATGATGTGGCCATTGCCGTTGGCTGGCGTTTTCAAGTGGTCATGGCACGTGGGGCCACTACACCGAGATCCGGGCTCACAACCTGCAGGGCAGCCGCTTGGAAGGAGGCCTCGGCAGGGCACTGATCGTGGGTGGTGCTATGCACTGGTTGTGCGAGACCAACACCGGGGCCTATGTCCTCAAGCTCCATGTCAAAACGGCACACGTGTCGGCGACGAAGCTCCCTGAATGCTTCCCCCGGGACGGATTACACCACCAACTCTTGGCGACGGCGGTGGCGGGCGGGAGCCCGATTGTGCTCACTTCGGATGGCGACAAGATATTTGCTTGGGCGCAGTCGAAGCAAACGACCAAGTGGCAACAACGGCCACAGGTGGTGATTGAGACGGAGGCATTGTTGCGGTTCATCGACACGGCGGGCAGAAGCAGGCCGCCGTCGAGGGGACGGGGTCTTAATGTACTGTGGTTTGGTGAGAGGAGTGGCACCGTGCTCATCAATTCATACTGGGGTTTTTTCTGGCTTGACCTGCAGTCCATGAAGATTGTGAGGTGGTTCTGGGATCGCGAGATCCCGTCCATGGGCGAGAATATCGGCTATGAGATGAATTTGGCGGATTGGGTTCCAACATTCGGTAGCACTTTGTGATTCATTCGTTTTCATTTTCGTTTCCAGTCTCAACTTCCCTTTGTGATTGTTGGAAAACTATGGATGCATTTGCTAAAAAAACTGATTTTATTTAAGTACATTTATTTGCCCCATGCACCGCCAGAGTTGTCACCGCGTAATGGTTGCTCTATGGATTTGCTAGTCTTCTTTTTTCTTTTTACAAATAAAGAGGATATGCTGTCTTATGACTGGTTTTGTGTTCTTAACTGGCTCTGGAAGGGGATATAGCAACTCTTACATGTTTTTAAGTGTTTAGTTTATTGAGAAGTTAATCAAATATTTATATCTGAAATAATGATGTGCAGTACCGTCCCTTACTAAAGACTGCAGTAACAGCGGCTGTAGGGCGATGGTGGCAGTGGAAGAAGTGTTGTCTCAACCTCAACATAGAAAAAGGAAACTATGAACAAGAGGCAGCTCATTTAATTGATGAACTCTAGTGGATTCAACATGGTCGTGGAGCTGTGGTGGCGGTTCCGAGTCCTTCTTTTGCTCGACGACGGTGGTGCTTGGCATCTTAACCCTCTTGAGGGCGACATCATGGATCCCCGGTTCTGTTGTAGCTGACCAATAACTTTGGGCATACCTTGTCGTGTCATGTAGCGCCGTCGACTTTGATGTGGGGCGGACTCGATGATCTTCTATCTTCTACACGTGTCCCTGTGGTATCGTTTCTCGGATGGCTTAGTCTGTTCGGAACTAGGTGTCTGGTGGTTTCTCAAGGGGGTGCAGTTTCGCTGATGTTCATTAGTCTTCGGTGCCTCTTGTTAGGTGTGACGTCTTGTTTCCACGGTCAGTGTTGGGTTAACAACACTTGTGTCTCCTGCTTAAATGTTGTTTTATTTTTCTTTTGACCTGCTTGCTTGAGGATTTTGTCACCACTTCTTATTGGTTCAGCCCTCTCCCCATCCTCCTCCCCTGCCGCCGCCGCCGATGTGGTCCATTGGGGCCTTGCCTGCGCGGTGTTGGCAGTGGGTTGGTCTTTCGCGAGGCGCATGGCGGGGGTGCGGAGGCTCCTTCTGCAGCGGTGTGGCTTGGCCGGCGGTGGTCTGGGTCGGCGGGGTGGTTCTCTTTTATTTTAGTGTTTACTCTTCAATTCTTTTACATTTAGGGTTTCATTTTTATTTTATATTTTCCATTCAAATCGATGCTAGCTACTACATATAGCAAAGAAGGAACCATTAATTACACAACATCGTCATGAACATATATAGAGAGAAGTGACCTCTCTTTCTCCGTGCTTGGTCTAACAACAAGTTTTCGTATATCTATTCGATGCTACTACATATAGTACACGATCATGCAAATATACAATACAACATCTCTTACGATCCCTAACATCATTTAACACTTGAAAGAAATTTTAACATAAAAAGCTTCCCGGTAGTGGATCAACTGAGTTGCAACATAGGTATTTTCAAACATAAAACAAACAATGATTCTCATAAGGGGAGAACCTGGTCTGGTTACATATAATATTCTAATCTAGTCCCTAATAAACTTGCCATTGAATTGAAATACATCACTTGTCTTGGAAAAGGAATGTAGTTCACTCTTCTTTGATCCATGACCTTCTACATCTTCAAGCGGCATCGCTGTTCAAGCAACAACACAGAACAAGGATGAGGTTGGAAATTATTAATCATGACAACGTCTACACAATGGACAGAAAGGGCAACATAAAAGTCAAATCCTATTATGCACACTAAAAAATGTTAAATGAGGCAACCATCCTAGACATACTTACTTAGAGGCACCATAAGTGTTGATAAATTCTATTATTATACACATGCCATATAAGAGAGAACAACCTTCACTGTGATATACCATAATCATAAAACATATGCATAACCACAACTCACAAGGATCCCAATGTAAATTTGTGATTCATAATCGCAATTCATGGGAGTAACTAAATGGTCCAGCAGAATTCGTTTAATTATACAACATCATTTTGAGAATACTAAACAAAACAATGTGAGACATCATAGTTTGATGACCACAGTCCAAAGACTAACTCCCATATACCCCACCGGCCTATCACCAAACCGTGCACCAATGCACGCGGGAAACCCTCATACACCTGTGCAACACTAGTAGTATGCATATGCATATTTTCTCATCTATGGTAACTCACACAAACAACTTTTGTTACAACCACACACAAAATGAAATATATCTAAATCATCCAGAGGACAAAGCCAAACCTTGCATGATCATGCTTGAGGGAGGGGAATGTGGGCGTCCATATCATCATAAAAGGATGAATATAATAACCAAAAGCTTTATCGTCCATCGTCGTACGCTTTGTGCAGTGTCCTGCACTTGACATCCAGGTAGAGTACTAACCAACTCCAAGAGGACAAACTCAGCATTGGCCCCCACATGGATTATCTTAGGCCGCACCGCAACCTTGTGATGTGATGTCCTCAAATCCTCATACATATCATGCAAAGAAATGGTGTCCACTAGCAGCCAACCGCCCCCCTTGTAGAGCCAGATGACAAGTTGAAGGTCCTTGGCACATAGGAGATATACACCAAAATCATCATCAGCTTGTGACAACATGATCATCTCCGGAAACCCCGCACCTTGAGGGTACTGAATTCTAGAGAAACTCAAGGTCGTCAAATCAAAGACAAGAATGTAGTTCGCCATGCACATATAGACTTCATTGTCAAGGAGCAAAAGTTTTTTGGTTATTGGCAGACCATGGACCTCCGTCGTGGCTGAGGAAACCATGCACGAGACACTATCTTGCAACATATATACGTGCACTGTGGTCCTCTCCTTGGTTGAATCCGTCCGCACGTAGGACAAGCCACCGCCTTCTTCTCTGAAGAGGAGTTCACAAACAAAGGGGATGACATAGGGGATGTTGCTATCCCGGAATTGATGGCTTGGCAATGGTGGCAAGATTGTCAAGCCACTTTGAGGGCACAATGGCCTGTGTACGGCAAATTTGTATCTGGTACTGCCATCATAATAGTGCAACCTCATGAAGACGTTGCCAGCCCAACAGTCCACGATGCGAGTCCCTGTTCTCCTATTGCCGTAGGTGTCCAAGCTGAAGCTTGCACGACGGAAGATAGCGGCGAGCTCTGGGGGCTGCAACATCAGCAATGGCACAAAGGGTGCTGTGCGCTCCACCCCGATGGTGACGTTGCAATTCCGTTCGTTTGTTCTGCCGAAAGAAATGTACTTGTGTGTGTGTGTGTGTGTGTGTGTGTGTGTGTGGACTGCACGCTGACATCGGCGAACACGAAGCAACCGTAGAAAGCAGCCCATCTTTACATGAGAATGTAAAGATAATCAAAGAAGCAGCAGACCTCTGTGATCTACATTGAAACTGTCACAATGATCAAGAAATATATTCCGTTCGTAAGTAGAGGTTGATCTAAGCAATTTGGGTTCTGCAAATGGAACCATCACAGATAAAGTACATCTTCCTTATCGAAATATTTTTCTTTTGTACGTTAAAAATTGTGCCCTTAGATTAACGGAACATTCTTCATTGAAAAAAATATTGACAGAACATTAAATTTTGCTAGAGCTGCACATTGCTACACGAGGAAGAAATCTTAACATATCTGGCTGCCTGGTAGTTTCTTTTTAATCATAAAACATACAGGGATTCTAACAAGTGGATAACCTGGTCCAGTTACATATAACATCCGAATCTAGTGCCCAATACGCTTGTCGTAGTCTAAAAAACAGCAGTTGTCTAGGAAAGAAATGCATCTCACTCTTCGTTGATCCCAAGACCTTCCCCATCTTCATGCGGCGTGGCTATTCCAAACAACAACAGAGAACAAGGATCAGGGTGGGAATTATTAATCATGGCAACATCTAGACAACTGGCTGAAAGATTAAAGTGATGCAACTGTTCCCAAACAGACTTACTGAGGTACCCTATGAGTTGATAGATTGCATTATTATACATATGTCATAAAAGAGAGAAATATCTTCATTGTGATATGTCTGAATCATACAATATACGCATATCCACAACCCAACAAGCATGCCGATGTAAATTTTTGTGATTGATATTAGCAATTCGTGGGAGCAACTACATGGTCCAGCAAAATTCCTTCTATTATTAAATACCATTCTAATAAGAATACTAAATATAACAATGTGAGAAATCATAGTTTATGTGAGGCAACTCACATAAACAACTTCTAGTACAACCACACAAAAATGAGTTATAGCAGAAGGATCCAGAGAACAAAATGCATACCTCCCAGGATCACACTTGAGCACGGGGAATGTGGGCGGCCATATCATCATAAAAGGGTGAATATAATAACCAAGATGACGATCGGCTATCGTCATCTCATATGCTTTATGAAACGTCCTGCACTTAATATCCAAGTAGAGTACAAACCAGTCCAACTCCAAGAGGACAAACTCAGCGTTGACCCCCACATGACGTATCTTATGCCGCACCACAAGCTTGTGATGTGATATCCTCGAATCATCATACATCTCATGCAAACAAATGGTGTCCACCAGCAGCCAACTGTCTCCCTTGTAGAGCCAGATGGCAAGTTGAAGCTCTTCGGCACAGATGAGATATACACCAAAATCATCATGAGCTTGTGACAACATGATCATCTTTGGAAACCCCATACCTCGAGGGTACTGAATTCTAGAGAAACTCAAGGTTGTCGAATCAAAGACAAGAATGTAGCTTGCGATGCACATATAGACTTTATTGTCAACGAGTAGAAGTTTTTGGGTTAGTGGCAGACCATGGACCTCCGTCGTGGCTGAGGTATGCATGCACCAGACACCATCTTGCAACATATATACGAGCACCACAGTTCTCTCCTTGGTAGAATCTATCAGCAGGTAGGATAAGGCGCCACCTTCTTCTCTGAAGAGGAGTTCAGGGACGAAGGGGAGGATTCTATTCTGAGGTTGATGGCTTGGCAATGGTGGAAAGTTGGTCAAGCCACTCTGAGCGCACAATGGCCTGTGCACCGCAAATCTGTATCCGGTTCCACCATCATAATCGTGCAAGCTCATGAAGACGTTGCCACCCCAGCAGTCCACGATGCAGGTCCTTGCACTCCTGTAGGCATAGGTATCCAAGCTGAAGCTTGCACGTTGGATGACAGAAGCAAGCTCTGGGTGCTGCGGCGTTGGCACCGGCACGAAGGGTGCTGTGCGCTCCAAAACATTGCTGACGTAAAAGCCAAGGAGGCGGGGCGGATGGAGCTTGCGGAAGCTGCTTAGGAATTTAGGGTCAGAGACGTGCCCGAGCCAGCGCCTGCATACCATGGCGGCGCGGACAAGGGTGGTGGGAAAGCCGACACGAAGGAGGATCTCGTCAAGGAGGTTGTCGTCGTCGAGCACCTTGGAAACGACGTGTGATGGCACTGGGGAATCCAGGCGGTGCCCGCCATCCACGGACTGCGCGTCGGGAACGGGATCAATGCTGAAACAGTAACACCGGAAAACAAATTCAAATCAATCAATGGACGGATTTTTCTTCCACAAAACCAGGTTGGCAAAGCATCCAACACACAGCATACATGCATAGATCCAGCGCACAAATAAACATGAAAATTGGATGCTCTTACCTCTGGGGAGTCTCATCACGCTCCATCATCTATATCCCGTCTCTCCTCTACACTGTAGCTGCAAGTAAAAATACTTTGTGTTTACTTGCGGCTAGCTAGGGTTTTTCCATGAGAAACGAAGAAGAATTACTATGGAAGCAAGGAGTTGAAGGGTGGGGGAGGAAGTTTCTGACCAGATAGATTCGTAGGTGGGTGAAGTCGCCGGCGGCGCCGCTCGTCCTTCCGCTCCGGCGGCGTCGGACAGAACAACGTGCGTGCAGCCTATCGATGATAGATCTTTTTATTTTTTTCTGATATAAGATTCATCCAAGTCCAGCCCAATTTGACGCTCAAAATCTGGTTGTAGTGGACGGCCGTGGTGGGCTAGAAGTTTGTAGACGGGCACCGTGTTCACTACAACCTCCACGGTGGACCGCCCTAGTTTTTTTTTTTTTTGAATTGTTTGTATTCGCTTTGCTAGTGTAGAAATAGAAGTTACTGAACTTGTTACATTACTATGCCATGTTAAGACAAAGTATTGTGCATTTTAGAAATTCTCTATATGGATAGTATAAACTAAAATCGGTGTTATTCTAGTAAATTGATATCTGAACTTCATCTGAGTCAAGCTGGAGCATGAAGTGATCCGAATTCGAACATCTGAAGATCACATTCATGACCTCATCATACTCCCATCACCCTTTAATCGGGGTTGTTGTGCCCGGGTCTAAGGGATCTATGACAAGACCGAGTTGTATTTTAACGACCATTGTTAGAGATAGATTTGGTAGTTAGAGATTGTTTGGGATTAGCTAGTAATTGTTTTCATCATATCTACCTCGCCCTTCAAGTGTTATACTTAATATATACCCGTCCTCAAAGCTCAACAATACATCTATCGCATTACGCCAATTCATCTCCCCTCTAATCCTTTTACATGGCAATCGGCCTAACCCGGATCCAAAACTCTAGCCGCCGGCGCTTGCGCATCGTGTCGCCCCAGGGTGGTCAATGTCCATGATCGCCATCGGGGTACGTAGGGTTCATTCGCCGGTCTGCCCTAGAGTCTTTTTCCCGATCAATTGATTGGGGTTTTCTCTCCAACCGATCGATTGATCATTGTTCCTTTTTGGTTCTCCGATCTATAGATTGGTTTGCGTCGCTCATCGCCTGTCGATCCTTCGCGCATCTCTACTTAGGCCTCAACGATGACTACTTCTGGCTGGATCCGGATAAACTTTCGCGGCTGCTCACGCCGTCTTGTGTTGGCCGGTCGCCCCACGCCGCGTGTACCAAGACCACCCGTGCAACCAAGGTGTTGGCTCCTCGAGCATCTGCGCTAGTGTGGTTCCGCATGGTCAGGTGAGGTACGCGTGCTGTGCTGGTCGTGGCAAGTCAAGCACGCATCGGTCGGTGTTACTGCATGCATGTTTGTACAACTTCTATGATGTCTATGTTATTAGACTAGTATCATGCATATGACATTAGTCTATGTTATTACCTAATAGTGCAGCGAGTCATAGAAGTAGTACTCCCTCCATTCCCTTATACAAGACCACAAACTCAAATTACATGTACCAAGATAAAATTTAATGACTGCTTTGCAAGCCAAATTTTCTTCTCGTTAACCGGGATGATTAATACGTCCGCATCCATGCAAGAAAGAAATGAGAAGGAAGTATCACAATGTCATTATGACTACATGCATGCATTTTTCATAGTGGCCTTGTATAAGGGAATGGAGGGAGTATCATATACTGTTGCATTTATATTAGCTTATAGAATCAACTTTTGTTGGGAAGCGCTACGTGGGGGTAACATAATATGTTACTCCAGACACCATTCTTCTCATTAACTAGCTAAGCAAAATTGTATGTGTTATGTTACTCAGTTAAAAGAATATTTGCTTATTGATGAAAAGAATCCGGCATTGTTTTCCTAGGATACCACCACGTAGACTAGTAATGGGGATAGGTAACAGCCAATCTCAGATTATTAGCGTCGGAGATACACAACTAGAAAACAAATCGCAGTTTATTTCGTGCGATGCACAATCAGTACTCCGATCCACATTATTAGACGGATCAAAAGGCTATATCTGGCCATAGGTTAATTGTACCACCTCGATCAGCTCTTACCCCGGAGTGAATTCCCTCCTAGCTAGAGCCACCCATCGACCATGGCAGGTGGTTGCGGCACCGCCGCCAGATCGCGGACGCAGCTTGCAAGATGGTGGCGGCAGACGACAGCCTCGCTGCCATTGGACGTGCTGGTGGACATCGCGACGCCCAGTGACCCGGCCACCCTTGTGCGTTGCGCCGCGACGTGTGTCGACATGCGTTGCGGCGTGAAGGAATACATCAGCCTCCGTGGCCGCCTCCGCCTCCGGCATGGTGACGCTTCGTGCTCCCCCTTCTACGTGGCCACCTGATCCGTGGGCATCAGTTCCGTGACTGGCGCGAGCGCAAGAAGGAGTTGTTCCTTGTGGATACGACCGCTGCTGACGCCACCATGATGTGCAGGGCCACCATCATCAGCGGCATCCCCCTTGGTTCGTGCGATGGCCTCGTCATCTTCCGCGTTGACGGAGAGCTCCGCGTGTGTAACCAGGCTACAGGCAGGAACCAGACTCTGCCCACCGAACCAGCGTTCCATGTGACTGTGAGGAGTGTGGCGGCAAAAGAGACAAGTTATGTCCTGCTTGTTGTCGGTGACAATGATGAAGGTGCCACCGCCGTTGGCTGGCATTTCCAAGTGTTCATGGTCTACCTAGAGGTGTCACAGCACCGCCGCTACCTACAGCTCCAGACTTTCTCGTCGAAGCGCGGCATGTGGGGTCACTACACCATGATCCGGCCTTATAACCTGCAAGGCAATCACTTGCTACGAGGCCTTGGCAGGGCCCTGGTCGTCGGTGGTGCTATGTACTGGTTGTGCATGACCAACACCGGGGCATATGTCATGAAGCTCCATGTCAAAGTGACACACATGACGGCGATGCTGATCCCCGATAGCTTCCCTCGTGGTGGGTCACGACACCAACTATTGGCGATGTCGGTGGCGGGCGGGAGCCCAATTGTGCTCGTTGCATGTGACGATAAGATATTGGCTTGGGTACAGTCGAATCAAACATCCAAGTGGCAACAACGACCACATGTGGTGATCGAGATGAAGGCACTCCTGCAGTTCTTTGACAAAGCAAGCGCGAGCAGGCCACCACCGAGGGGAGTCCAGCTTAATGTACTGTGGTTTGCTAAGAGAAGCGGCACCATGCTCATCAATTTATGATGGGTTTTTTTCTGGTTCGACCTCCGGTCCATGAAGATTGTGAGGTGGTTCTGGGATCGTGAGATCCGTGCATGAACGAGAATATCGGCTATGAGATGAATTTGGCGGATTGGGTTCCAACCTCCGGTAGAACTTTGTGATCGTGATTCATTTGTTTTCATTTCCGTATCCAGTCTCGACTTCACTTTGTGATTGTTCGACAACTTTGGATGCATCTGCTCTATGGTTTTGCTAGTTTTTTTTCAGTAATAAAGAGGATATGCTGTCTCAAGAATGGTTTTGTGTTCTTAACTGGCTCTTCAAAGTGATATATCAACTCTTAGATATTTTTAAGCGTTTAGTTGTTGGAGAAGTTAATAAAAAATTTATATCTGAAATAGTGATGTGCAATACCGGACCTTCACTGAATACTGCACTAACAACGGCTGCAGGGAGATGGTGGCAGTGGAAAAAGTGTTGTCTCAACCTCAGCATAGAAAAAGGAAACTATAAACAAGAGGCAGCTCATTTAATTGATGAACTCTAGTGGATGCAACATGGTCGTGCCGCTGGCGGCGGTGCTGAGTCCTTCTTTTTCTCGATGACGGTGGCGGTTGGCGTCATAACCCTCTTGAGGGTCACATCATGGAGCCCCGGTTCTGATGTAGCTGACCAGCAACTTTGGGCGTACCTTGTCCTGTCATGTAGCACTCTCGACTCTGACGTTGGGCGGTCTTGGTGATCTTTAGTCTTCCTCACGTGTCCCTGTGGTATCCTTTCTCGGTCATTGCTATCTCCTGGCACGAGCGACGATCGATGGCACGAAGCGAGAGGGTAGTCTCATGGTGAGTGTTCCCCGTCTAGAGATAGCTT